GTTCCCTTAGCCTTTTTTGCCGCCCTAACCCATTTTTTCTGTACCCTAAGCTCTTTTTGCTGCCCTAACCCATTTTTTTCTGTACCCTAAGCTCTTTTTGCTGCCCTAACCCATTTTTTTCTGTACCCTAAGCTCTTTTTGCTGCCCTGACCCTTTTTTTTTCTGTACCCTACGCCCTATTTGCTGCCCTAACCCTGTTTTTTCTGTACCCTAAGCCCTATTTGCCACCCTAACCCATTTTTTCTGTACCCTAAGCCCTATTTGCCGCCCTAACCTTTTTTTTTTCTGTACCCTAAGCCCTATTTGCCACCCTAACCCTTTTTTTCTGTACCCTAAGCTCTATTTGCTGCCCTAACCTATTTTTTCTGTACCCTAAGCTCTATTAGCCACCCTAACCCATTTTTTGATTCCAACCTGTTTTTTTTGTCGAATTGGGCAGCTGGGCTCTATTTTGCACTTTTTCTTTCTTTAACAGGTCTGTCAGACTATAGAAAATGATGAGGCTTCAAATTGCTCCCAATCTGGCTAAAATTGCTACTGAAATGGTGGTTTTACTCTTTCCTCAGCTTTCTTTACCAGAAGCACTGTGTTAAAGAAAGAATCTCATAGTTGCCCGACATTACCCAGGCGTTTCTACAACCTGCTATTCATTTTCTTCAACATAAGGCTTGTCTTATAGAAACTCATTATGTATGAATTGCGTTAATACATGAGGTGGCTGTGCTTGCCCTTTTATGGTAAATGCAAAAGGCATTCAAGGTGGGGATTGAACCCACAACCTCCTGCTTTCCCCACTTCTGAAAAAGAAGCATCATTAGCCACTAGACCAAGCAACCGCTATATGTAACCACTTTTGGTCCACCTGAGGTAACCAATTAATCTTGTCCCAATGTTCCCCAAGCTGCCTTCCATCTTTGTAATACCAGCCTAGTTAGGGTCTTTATTTCCCACCTATATATCATTACCTTAGCTAGGGTGCTGGATAAGGGAGACTTCCAGTTTGGTATCTTCTAGTGGCCCCTGGGTGGGAGGCAAAGGCCCTACAGTGCCTGAGGTGCAGAGGCACCTGGAGGAGGAAAATCCGCAAATAGTTGGTTCTTTTTTGTGATGTTGTCCAAAAACATGCCACTAAATTTTCTTTGGTGATGGACCAAGAAGCCATACTCATGGAGGCTTTGGCTGATTTGGTTAAGGATGTAAGGGGGCAATAGAAGAGTCTGGCAATGAGTATGAGGGATGTTCTCACGCTCTTACCACCATGACCTTGCCACCAATGCTGCCGCTATGGTGCCTCCTACACCATGCCATCCAACCAGCCCTGGGATACCATGCCTAGCACCTAAGGACACTTACCACCGACAATTGGAAGCTCTTCTGGACTCCGTGTAGGCCACACTGGCCCTTACACATGAAATGGCCTGTGGACCTGTACAGTACTCCTCACGGATGGCTGATGTCCTCAGGGTCTTAACGCACCACATCACTGTTGCCCCAAATCTTGCCCTTGCCCCCACTGCCACTGCTCATCCTCCAGTCATTGCTGCCCCCACTCCTGCCCCCACCATGTATGCCTGTGCTTTGTCACCTGGGAGTCCGTCAGCACTGAAGCATAACACACCCAAACATCATGTGACATTACAGCCAACTCCGTCTCATTCCCTTTCCCCAGATCCCCCCTCTTCTCGTACTCCCATCTCCCATAGAGCCGATGCCCACACCCCCGACTTGGCATGTGGCCAGTGCTTCACATGACAGTACGAGCCCAATTTTCTTTTTTTCAACACACTCTTCAAAAATCCTGAGCATACAGGGCTGTACATAATGTGCTAGTTTGCAGCGATGCGGTCTGCGGCGATGCGTCCAAGTGGTGGAGTGGGAGGGTGGCAGCAGTTATTGGGGCTGAAACAGATTCCAAGTGCTTGCTGGACATGAGGTTGAAGGATGAAGTAGACAAGGGAGACACAGGAAGATTGTACAACAGTGAGCACACCCCAGAAGCAGACAAGAGAGATGAGGACAGGGACATGGAGCCAGTGATACGCTGAGATCCGATAGATGGGCAATCATATTTAAGCAACAAAGGCCCATCCAGAGGTAGGGGAGGACATGGCCGATATTCTGCACAAATATGAATACGCATCGATGTATGTCAGAGGATATCTTACCAAGAGGCTCGGTCTCAAAGTGGATTGTGGTACGCATACTTGAAAGAGTCAGAAATACTCGAGAATTTCAACCAATCGGACGAACTTGGAGCGTTGTTGTAAATTCTAGTAGCTCTGAAGAGTGAGGGAAGACGACAAGGAGCGAGGAACCTCTGCGTGGAGCTTCACTTTAAGTACGGAACCTTTCAAATTCGTTTTAGTCAGATGATGTCTTGGCTTGGTCTTGGCGCCGCGCGTGTCGGATTTTGTCTAACGTTTAATGTGAAGTATACCCTCAATGAACAGACAATAATGTAAGTTGAGTCTTGGAAGGCCTTGATATTTATGGCATTATTTATCGTCGTTTATTCTTACATCGTAGTCCTAAGTCCGAATGTCTTGGTCCGAAGTCCCAAGTAACAAGGCTTCCATTTATTCTCACAGCAGTCACAACACCTTACACAGACCAACACAAGGATTAGGTTCAGTTCTCAGTCAAAATACCGTTCAATGGAACACAGACTGTGGGGGACCTGTGGGCATGTTTGACCACGACCTACTCATAGTTTGCTCCCGTGTTCGGCCCCATCCAGCAATATTGGCCTTCCCTGCGAAGATAGCATATATTAGTATGCAGCATAAGATATATTGGAGGGGCATAGAAGATTTATAGCAGCGGTCACTATTACTCGCTATTAATTTATTAGATGCGCGCAAAAAAGTTTGCTGCCGGTGATTGGACGCTTTGTGCAGGTCGGAAATTTCCGCAGAATAGATAGGTGTAGTGCTTGTAATGGCTCCGAGGCTTTTTACGGCCCATATCCCGTAGACACGAGCAGAAACGGCGGCATCGGCAGGCTGATTGGAAGTCCCCGAACGATTGCCATTTTCAATTTTGGGAGTCGGAACCCACAGTAATGCCACAGTGTACCCACACTTTCCCCACAGCATCCCAAAGTGCATGCTGCTGCAGGTTCACGGTCCAGTTCAACGAGCCTTTGAGACAAAGGACTTGGATATTGAGCGTGCAGAGTACGGACCACGTCATGCGACCTTCATTTGGGAGTTGATGGTGCGAAGTTTGATGCTGAAAATACGGAGTTAAGTGTGTGGACCGGCTCGAAACTTGGTTGTCCTGTCTACGAAACAGGCCAAAACTGAAGTGTTGAAGGCTTGACTTGGCCAATTTTACAGACCACGGTATGGGACTGAGAATAAATGATGAAAAATGATCTCATAGATATTTGCCGCCGAGGCCTGAGACCTAAGTACGGCACATTTGTTTTAGTTCGCTGATCAGGTGATGGCTTGGCGCCGCACGCGTCGGATTTTTGTCTAACGTTTAACGTGAAGTATACTCTCAGCGGACAGACAGTAAGGTAAGTTGAGCCTTTGATCTGCCACCGACCTCCCCGGGACTTTTCCCTTAGGTTGCGTGCCTAGATTGCATAAAATTGAAAAGCCGGCGGAACCCTGGACCGAAAGGCAGTGCATGATGTCGGAGTTCTAACCTCAATCAAAAAACACTGAATCGACGTCAGCAAGAACGAATCCTAAAAGATATTAGGACTCGTAACATTATTGTCCACCTGGATTTGCTCCTGTCACCAGTTATGACCCGTAGCACCAGGGCCGCATTGTTCCATGCCATTTCAGATGTGATGGATAAGTCCTACAAATCTTGGGGTCAGTTCTGTGGGCAGATCGGTGGCTGTACATGCCACCCGGCTTTCCCCAGAGTGTACAGCCACCAGTCTGCCCACAGAACTGAGCGCAAGATAAATAGGGCGTCCGAGGGCGTCGCCGGGTGGGTATGGGGTATGGCCAAACCAAGAGCACAGAAAAGGAGGAGAACGGCGGGGGAGGCTAAAAAGCGCGCAGAGGGCGCAGTTTTTAGTGTACAGGGGAGACTGAAGGAGTATAATGAAGTGGGGATAGTGTAGAGCATATTGGTAGTGGCCACAGGACGACGCCGAGCGAATCTGGAAGGAACGAAGCGATACCGTCCGCGGAGATGGACAGAAAGAGGCGGGCTGGCACAGAATTGTGAGCAAGAGAGGTTCTGGGGGACGACAAGCAGCAAGTGGGAGTGGTACTGGATGTCGTGGTTGACAGCGGGGAGCGCCAGAGGCGAGTTACGTCTCGCCTCTGGATCGAGATCGTGAGCGTAGCGGGGAAGAGGCTGCCAAGCAGGCGCACATAGCGATGCCGACGTGATGCCGAGCGCACACATTTTAATGTGAAAGATTGAGGGTGGGGAGAACTGAGATGGGGGGAATCGGTGAGTACGGGCAGACAGTGTGGAATAGTTGGAAAGGGTGCGCACGCGGTGGCAGTGTGCCGGACGTGGCCGGTAAACGTGTGAAATGGATTAGGACATCCAGGGCTACAATCCTGGCAGTTCACATTGTTCTGAAAGAAATCACTTGGCGCGCTGAAAAATGACCGATTTCTTCTTTCGGCCAGATTAATAGCGCATCAATATATTTTGATCTCGATTTTTCGCTAGGTACTCTTTCTAAAGAGGACCATAACTTATTTTATGTCAAAGGACTCAAAGGACGTGGAGAACTGCGCGAAAATATATGTGGCATTACTTTTGTGGACACAGTGTAATCGACCAGAGTTTGCAGGAGGCGCCCGTTCGACTCGGGATTGAACTATGGATGGGATGTGCAAACAGAATTCTTTTTCTTCTTAATGTCCCCGGCTCCGAGTCCGAGGTGGGAGGAGTTCGTGGTGATATTTATTTCGACCAAAGATTCCATCCCTGCATGCATGAATATCCATCTAGCAAGCAAGGTCCTGGTCAACAAAATCTCTCTCCATAGCTCAGTGTTAACACTATTGCATATGGGTTCAATGGTGCACTGTGCACGCCTGCTAGATATTGCACCCTTCACAGCCCCTCTGCAGGAGACGCCCGTTCGATTCGGGCTTGGACCATGTCCATGGAAACGCGCAATTTTTTTTTTGTCGGACATTTTTGTCCTAAATTCTGTGAATCAAAATTTTTTGAGCGCATTATCAGTTGCTTCTGGCCGCGTCTGCTCCAGTCGCACTCATAAATTATGAAGGCTACCATACTTTATATCGAAATTTAATTATATTCGGAACAAATACACTTGGAAGACGTGAATGATCGACACTCCGGACTGAGTGATATGAATTTGACCCGTACCGACATGTGCCATCGCTAATCACCAATCAGCGTGTTTTCCAGGCAGTTCAAACAATATTAATGATTAACAAAGCGATTCGATAACTAGGAAACACCTCCCCACATGCGAGTATCAAGAGAACCAGACATCGGTTCAATGGTGCAGGTGGCACGCCTTCGATATATTCTCTACAGCGACTGGGTCCGCCTATCGGCAGAAGGCACCCGTTCGACCAACGTTCGACTAGGGCTTAGACCAGTGGGATTTTAAAACCGTTCTTTTTTCAGTGCAGTTTGTTCGGGGTCCCCGGGTTGTTTCCATACGAGCATAATATCATATTCGCATGAAAGGAGCGCGACAATAATATATACATGCGATCACACCTTTGCTTTGTCCGGCTTGGCGTTGGCCCTTGTTGTGCGTGATTGATCGGCATCCGGACCTTGTCTTCAACGTCGTCGCCGCCGCCCCCTGATGCGCGTCCCGCCGGCTCGTTCGCCTCCAAAGTGCTTAGCTCCTTCGTGCCTCCGCTCACGCAGAAGTCGGCCTTGCGCCGGCCCGGTGACGCCTAGGCCGCATCGAGTTCGAGGGTCGCACCAAGGCCGGGGAGAGCGCAGCTCGTCCATGACCCCTTCGTCATCATATCATCGATTGACAACACTGTGTTCCAAAAGTTGCCATAACCCTGTGGCAGTACCCCATACATCGCGCTCCCCGCTGTCGCTCTGGCGGGGCTCGCGACGTGCTGGCTTCACGCCACCGCGCGCGCACCCTAGCTCGTCGTGGCGTTGGCCCCTTATTCGCACACAGACGCTCGCGCCCACCTTTCGCAGGATCCATGTGGCTTGTGTTGTGCGTTGGGTGCTGTCCTCCGCGCGCAGTCGCTGTGGGTATTGGCGTGCGTCTCCGGCTCTTTCGCCACCGCACCGCCCATCCTTCTTCTTCGCCGTCCACCGAATCCCATCCGACCGCGCCCGATTTGTCGCGCCCATCCAAACACACCCTTTCCACCAGTCTCGGCTTCGCCGTCGATGTGGGTCGATTCTGTACTATCTCTGCGCCCGGGCTTGTTCTGTTCGGACCTATGTCTGTGCGATACTCCGATTGACAAATGCAAATTCATGTTACTCACAAATCCGCAACACAACACACGGTGTCATTGTTTATTCTACGTGCGCGGGTCTCTGTTCATTTGCATGCGTGCGGCTTATGACTCGAGGGGAAACGCAACTGACTTGAAATCAGATTTTATTTTATTTTATTTTGTTCCGGACTGGGAGTTGAAATCAGAAATGCGGACTGCTCAAAATATTTTTTGAAGCGAGCCGCTATCCGGGCGCTTGCGATCGCATGGACTCAGCGTCTGCCTATTAACTGTGCAGAAATTGCCAATACCGTATCTACTAAGTGTGTGGCTCAAACTAAATGTATCAAGCGGGTATCACAACCACTCTAACCTGTCTCTCCGCTGAAATACTCCCCTCTAGATCAGAGATAGGCAATCTCACACTCGTAACCGCCAAATCCATCTCTGCAAACCAAGTTAGCTCTCCGGAATCACACAAAATCGAACACAATCGATAGATAGCGTGCCGAAGTTGTAGACAATAACAAAGCGTACCCATTGAGACTACACCACGAATCTGGCGTCGCAATCACAGCCAAGATATTATCGACGTATGTCTGGCTGTTTGTGCCTCCGCAGGTCTTTGTACTAAATCCGAGCCAGCGTTCAACGTCAGTACGGGGGAATGGAAACAAGAATGGGCGAAGGGAGGGAGAATGGTGGCATGCTTACGTCGATGAGCCGTAGAACGATGTGAGGAACGTTGGGTCGGCTGGGTTGGTCACATTGTCAGCATTCGTCGTCGACCCAATGAGGGAAGCAAGGAAATCAAAGGAAACCAAGTAAAGAAACAGGAAATGGATAGGATTCAGAAGAAAAGGAAATCCTAACCGATTCTAACACGCCCCTCCAAGTCCTCGATCAACTCGTTTATACCGGACCAGCGGGTCGTGCATGTCACTTCTGTCTGTCTAGTCGTAGGAAGGGCAGCGGCGAGGGTGAAAACGAGTGGGAAGAGGGAGAAGGATTTCATAGCTCTGGTGGAAGGAGGAGGAAGATGCTGAGCCCGGTGACACAAAAAGCATTCGCTTTTATCCGTTAATTTAGCGCCCGTCGAGTCACCCGAGAACGAAAGGCACCATCAAAACCGAGGATGCCCGCTGTTTGGTTCCCGATGGTTTGGGATAATTCCGAAGCAGATTCTGATAGGAGTGTCGCCTGCACTTCTGAAGAGGAGGAGAAGAGGTACAGCGAAGTCCGTCTTTCTTTTCTTCACCACAACCACAACTTTCTGCGGGAATTCCGAGCCCGTGCTCGCTGTCAGCCGCCTGACTTGGCGAGGTTTCAAGGTGATGAAAGCGGCCAAGGAGGTTACGAGTCCTATTTATAGGAACTCGTTCTTGGCAATCTTTCACTGCCAAAAAATCGTCACCAGTACAACTTTTTATCTGAAACGTGACGTGAGGATCTCGCCTTGAGGTTTTGATTTCTCTTCCACATCGAATTTTGGATTTTGACGATACACACTATTCCTCGTACTGAATCTCTATCTACTGGACTGTAGGCGCATTCTCCGTGTCCTACACCACTAGTGGGAGCAAAGTGATCGAGGTTCCTGCGTAATCGCGTTGTCCTATAAAATCGACGTGCTCGAAGTGTAATAATCCCTCTCAAATCTATCAGTCTTGCCGCAGTGACTACTAGGTGACTCCTGCGCTGCTGCGCTCAAGTCCCTGCCACCTTGCATGTCCACTGAGCCTCGTCCAAAAAATGTCTCTTCCTTTCGACAACAGCGGGGCAGAGGGACGAAAATTTCCGCCACGTCGGCCCCCGCTGGACCGTTGCGGCCACGTCAGGCCACGTCAGCGCCAACTCAGCACCCATTTGGCATTTACCGCCGCCGGCCCAGACTTGCTTGGAAACTTGAATCTTAAGCGTCGGTTAAACCTCAATACTGCTTCCGCTCCCACACATATGCAGTCTTCACCCCCTGCTGCCACGATCAGTGCCAACTCGGGACTCCTCGGTCGTACAGATACTGTCAACAGGATCGCAACTACTGTGACGATCGAGCAGCCCGTCTCGACCTCAATTACGGATGTTGAACCATGGCGCCGGAGTATACGTATTTGTGAATTTTATATGACACGATCCAGAACGATTCCGAATTATCACAAATCAAAGTTGCGTACTGTATGCCACTCGTGCTGGTAGTGAAATGCTCATGGGCACCGCAATTAGATTGGGGATTCACAGAAGACTTCAATCCGTCCGCAACAGGATGGTTCGTATTGAACGAGGTCACAAATATTAGCGACTTTGCGCTGCAGCCATCAGAGCCACCTGATGGCTTTTTTGCATTGCGCAAATGGATGGCTGATGGCTGCAAACAAAATGTCGGAGGCAGCCTAAGTGTATCGTAAGAACCTTGAAAGAGTCCTAGGCACTCTCCCAGGTCCGTTCGGTCACATTAGAGCCGATGTCCTTTCCATTTCACGGTCAAAAATATGTAAAGCGAGAAAAAGATTAGAAAATTGAGGGATGAACCCATGGGCCAGTATTTTTCTACCCCCCAATGAGAACTCAGTCCCATAATCTCCCATGAGGGAGCAAAAAATTTGCAATCAACAGTGGTTAAAGCCATTAGCCATCAGTTTGCGCAATGCAAAAAAGCCATCGGATGGCTCTGATGGCTGCAGCGCAAACGCTCTATTCCTCAAGTGCCTCGATGGCCATGAAACTGCTCGCCATATATGACAATCAATAATATTAACCACAGGTTCAATGATGCAGGAGGCACACCTGTGGATATATTCCAGAATATCCCTGTGATGTCTACAGGAGGCGCCCATGGCTGTGTATTCAAGCTCTTCCATCTTCTTTTCCACTTTTTCTTTGAAAGTCATTTGGCTCGAGCGTGTCAAGCTTCACCGCATTGTGTTTACATGAGAAGGGCTCGTACGAGACAATCCACAGCAAAGGTTCCAATCGGGCTTGGACATTGCATCTTTTTTGCCGACTTTCTTTTAAACCTTTCTCCATCGCGCAACCTGCTATCACAAATCGGTTCAATGGTGCGGGTTACACGCCTGCTAGATATTTGTAGCTCACACAGCGAGTCTGCAGGAGGCGCCCGTTCAGCCCGGGCTTGGACTATGCCATGATCGAGAGGTGGAAAGCAATCTTTTTCGCATCCACCGAGTGACCAGCCACAAAGACTTCTTAGTATCAGAGTATCAGGGGTATAATAAATGTGTTCAATGATGTAGTCGTGCACGCTTGCGAGATATTCTAGAATCTCCTCGTGGATGCTTGCAGGAGGCGGCGGGCTTGGACCATAGCTTGCGTGTATACGTTGTTTTTTTTTTGCCGGCATACTTTTAACCCTTTTCAAGTTGAACCTTCGAGCTTCAAGTTGTCGAACAGCCTGTCCAAATTAACCGCCTCGAGTTTATTCATGGAAAAGAGCCTATCCGTGAATATTCAGCAAGGTCCTGGTCAGCAAAAGCTCTCTTCATAGCCCAGTATCAACAATGGCACGTATGGGTTCAATGGTGCACTGTGTACACCTGCTAAATATTACAACTTTCCCTGGTGTCTGCAGGAGGCGCCTGTTCAATTCGGGCTTGGATCATGAGTGCAGTGTGAAAATCCAATTTTTTTTTTCTGTGCAGTTTTTTCAGGGTTGCTTGCACGAGTGTAATGAAAAGGGCAATGATATATACATGTGACGAGCGCACGACCAGCGAGGAGAACCTTGTTTTGTCCGGCTTGGCGTTGGCCTTGTTGTGCGTGATTGATCGGGATCTTCGGCTTGCTCTTCGACGACGTTTCGTTCGCGCTGGATGAGATCCTCCCTCCGAGGCTCCGATAGCCTTGGGTTCTGGATTCAACCATGAGACTCCGGCGCTCATTCCTCGGGCTCAACTAGAATCTAGATTCGTCTCTGGATTCGATTTGGATTCGATATACCTAGCAGCCGCCTTCTCGCAATGTCGCCCGCAGATGCCCACGATTATCGATCCACTGCTTAATTCGCGGCGCAAGAGCCCCGAACGCATCGCGCTGTGGCCGTTCAGTGTCAAGCGGGAGGTGCGTGCGTCTCGTTTATGTTTTTTACCCCCCGTATACGCCCTACGTCGTTCTCTCCTGCGTTCCCTCCACTCCTGCGTCGTGTTATGCTACACATCCTCGTACTCCCCTCCCCCTGTCCTGCGTATCTCATCCTTCCCTCCGTCCCATCCTTCCTGTCTGCACGCTACTCGACTTTGTCCGCACGCGCACGCCCAGTCCTCGTGAGCTGCTTGCCAGTAGGTTCAGTGCACGCGTCTGTGGGCTTGGCGTTTCGTGCTCTGTGTGGCTCCTGCAGCCGGCGCGCGCTCATGAGTCCTCATGCATGGCGCGCCCCTTCTCTTTGGCGCTTTTCTTTGGGGCTGTGGGAGGTGGGTGGCGACCTGGGGAGAGTGGTCTCGCGGGGAAGTAGGCGCAGCGTTGTCCGCGTACATGCAGTCCTGCCACCTCCGCGTTTCGCTCCGTGGCCCGCCTCCGGGTTTCGCGCGCTCTGTGGAGCTCCCGCCCTGATGTACGTCGCCCCGGGGCTTTCTGTCGGCGAAGTGGGCGGCGCGCATGGGCTGTTATTCCTTCCTGTCGCCTCTGCGCGCGCTGGCGGGCGTCGTTGCGCCTTGGTCTATGGGGTCTTTTCCTTCCCCGGGCTGGGAGCGTAGTGCATCGATTCGGACGCGGGACTTGCGTACGCCATGTGCCACCACGACCGCATTTCGCGCCGGCGCACGTTCCTTATCGCTCGTCTTCCGCGCTCGTGTCGTTTGCGCCAACCATTGCGCGTTTACGCCTCATTGGACACTACCACTCTTGCCCGATGCCTCACCGCGTTTACGGGCGTTGGCGTGTGCCAGCGGGCGTCCGCGCTGTTCGCGCCCTGCCGTCTTCTCCGTATGCGCATCATGTGGCGCCTTGCTTCGGTCCGTCTCCTTTCATACTTTCCTTCGCTTTTATTTCGCCTCCTTCGCTTCCCTTCGACATCACGCTGACCCTTATTTCTTCCTTTCCCAGCCCGCATCCCGCACGCATGATACGCTGGCCAATCTACGCATCCTTTGTTTTGCTTCCTTCCTTGGCATACCTCCGTGGTCGTGCTCCTCTTCCGTCCCTACTCCTTCGCCCCTGAGGATGCGCGTCTCTTCCATCTCTTCCTACTCCTCCCCTCCTCGCCGGACTCCTCTTCTATTCTCTCCAACCGCTCCAACCGCTTCCCCTCGTCATGCTTCCCTGCCTTCCCCTCGTCCATCCATCCCACTCCTTTGTCATACCTCGATGCTTATCCTCCTTTTGCCCCTCACAGATGCCGAAGGCGACGACAGAGACAAGGACGCACAAAACGCTGCAACCACCGATGCAAGACAAAGATAACAGTAACAACGCGGCACCCTCGGCCCCGCGCCCCGCCGCGCGGCTTTGGGGGCTTTCCCCCGGCGCGGGCGATTGATCGGGCTCCGATGGCGGCGGCGGCGAAGACGGATGATGATGATGGCGTGGTGTGTTGCGCTCGTCTTCCTCGCCTTCCTTCCTTCCTTTGCTTTGTCCTCCTTTCTCTCCTCGTCTCTCCTTCGTCTTTTCCCTTGTCTTCTTTGCGCTATCTTTCTGTCCGTCTCTAACTACGGACATGCCAATCTACTCTCTCTTCCTTCTCCCCGTACTGCTCTCTATCCCTCCGTACCAGTAAACGTGCTTATTCATTTCGTTCATACATCGTACTCGCTCTCCTGGTCCTACTCGTTCTCTTCCTTCGTTTGTCGGCCGTTTTACGAGGTGCGGAGCAAGTGCGTTTAACGCACTTGCCTTCACGTGTGCTGGTCTTTGCCCCCAGTGTTATGCACTGTGAAGAGCGTTTGCACTTCTAGAATACACCGAAACATGGGTTTTGTCGAAGGGCTCTCCGGCATCATCTCGAGTTCCTCTGGGAACTTGAAGCCCAGTTTCAATGGATAGTAGAAATCTGTACGCGGGGTCGCTCGTTTGTGCGCCGACTGCTGAAGTACAAAGTGGATAATCGATGCCATAGGTCAGGGATATTTTCAGGGATATTTTCCACAACTACAAGAAAAATGGCTTTTACACGTACATATGTGCGAGGACCGAATAATTCAAATCAACACCGTCCATACCGTATACTGTATAATTTGTAGATAGATTCGAGCTAGTAGCAAATTTAATGATGTTCAATATGATTATCTCAAAATGAATATTTTACCCGGCATTTTACAAGTGAGTACGAGCTTCACTTGTTAAAGCGTCTGTCTACAGGACACTACCGGCATTTCGTGAATTAACCGGTAATGGACACGAAATCTGTGACCAGAGGAGGAACCAGGGCTGCCCGGAGGGCTACTGTATCCCGAAATTGGCAGACAAAACTCAACAAATCAAGGGGTAGTTCGATCCAAGACCCGGAACCAACTTCAAGTCCCCGGGGTTCCGGCGATCCCGCCGCGGCAGTTGCCGTGAATCACTGATAAACTGAATTGTTCCGGCAATTTATGGCTCTCGATTCAAATGAATGCACATGAATCACCTCACCATCTAAAATGATCCGCTTCTCTCCCTCTTGTGCACACTTCCTGCCAACAACCTCGTCCGCACCATCCCCGCAGCTCGCAGATTATCGTCCGTCGGGTGCTCAACGTGCTCCATCAGCGCCGAAAGCTCGGGGTGATTGCGATACAACCAAATTGCATGCAGGAGTCCCGTTCCGTCAATCGAGATATCCTCGTTTGAGTGTTTTTCGCTTTTAGATATGATGGAAAACCGCAGGGAGAGGAGCGAGAGCGCTATGGAGGCCGCAAGTCCGGCCGACACCTGCTTGAATTATGCATCAGCACCTGAGGGTGGGTGGGTGATTCCGAGGTACTTTCCTCAATTATGCTTAGCTACGCATGAGACCAGTATATTAATTACCATACAGAATCGCGTGGGTTTGATGGTACGTACATTGAGACGTCCTTGGATCAATACTTCAGAGACAGAGGCGTTACCCTGAAGCAGGAAGGTAGAGTGTGGAAGCTCGTCAATGACGATGAAGTCGGTGGCGTTGAAGGCGGCACTTGTGCTCGCGCTCCGGATAAAACCATGCGTGGGGGAAATGTGGCCCACTGGGATAGTGAAGTGAATACAGAAATATGTTCATCGAGAGTGGAGTGAACTCACGACTCCAGAACATGGCGGCCGTCAAGATTGATATTGAGTTCTCGAGATCGTGAAGGTTTACGGTGCCGGGCGTGCCGGTATAATCAACAGGCCGCAGATTCAACTTCTGGATGAGAAACCTAGACGCAGAGTGTGCTCTGGTGAGTCGGACGCCTTCCTCGGGAGTTGTCTCCCACTTACAGGTCTGCGACGGAAGCGTACTTGTGGAAGGAAGCATCAAGAGGAAATTGAGATGCGGGGATCAGGTTGTACCAATCTGCCCACTGAAACAGGGTCAACGAAGAAGACCAAGAGAGAGTGAACTAGAAACCTTTGCCAAAAATCCACCGTCAGCCGTAGGGTTGAGGCGCTGCATGTCTAAATACGAGGGCCCCGAATATGGCGCCCAAACCGACGCGGTCTTCACAATGCTTGGCTCCGCTGACAATATTTTGTGAGATTGTGAATCCACAACTGCCGTCTGGGCGGTCAACGACTGGGAGCATCGTAATAATTGGACGGAAGACACGGAGCTTTGCATTGGTGTGCTGAGAGTCACCCACGGTGCCTGGTTATTCTCTGAGTCGACGATTGGAATGGTACTATACAGGACAATGGCGCTTGCAGAGATGATGCCGTCGGATGTACTGATGAGTTCAGGATGGCTCGTCGCAATTATGCCGGATTCTATTCCAGTGTCAGAATTTATCGTCACAGAAGGAATATGAACATTACGGGTCGAGCTGAGAGTATAAACGCCTCCATCGATTGTCATATTCCATAATTCTTCAGTAGGCAGTACTTGGATATCCACGCCAGTTGGATAACCGCAAGTGATGTTGAACCCTGTTGCGTCGACAGTTGCATTCCCGCTCCCGGGATTGTCCTCCAGAACATCGTACAAAGTTCCTCCACTCAGTCCCACGGTTGTTCCGTTTGTGGCAAGGACGGACGGAAGGAGGTACAAGGAGCCATCCGCGACGACCCGCGGATCAGTAAGACCACCCTTGGAGGAGGTGTTGAAGGCGGGGAGACCTTGTGTTCCAACATTGACAAGCCGGGACGATGTAAATGTCTCCAAAGAGAACAGGGAAGGTGTGGTGATATGAAGAAGCAAGATATTTCCAAGATATCCGAGGGCAGAAAGAACGCCAATGAGGGATGCAGGAACGGTCCTCTGACACCAAACATGGTTAAACGCGGATCCTACTCCGGCCCACGCTGCAGCGCTATCGTGGGTGGCGGTGACTGTTTGATCCATCTGCAGGTCCCGCTGTATAGACAGTTTCTGGGTCACAAAAACCAAGATCGCGGAATAAAGCTTGCAGCAGAACAGGTCACTTGAGTGGGATGACGGAGAGGTACAGTACACACCGTTCCGAATGTTGTTGTAATCGCGGTAATTAAGAGCAACACGGTTTTCTGATGATC